ATCTGCCCCCATTTAACAATATACACACAGAGAGAGAGAGAGAGAGAGAGAGAGAGAGAGAGAGAGAGAGAGAGAGAGAGAGAGCCTTCATACTGTACTGTTTGTTTTTACACATGCTCAGAGGTGTTGTGCTGAACGGTACCTCCTCCTCCTCCTCCTGCTGCTCTCAGTCTCTTTTCTCTGCTTCTCACTCTTTAAAAAAAGCCCTAACACCCACACAGTAAAAAAAAAAAATCAAATCAAATAAATAACACAGCTCGGCAGTCGGATCTGCTTGGTTACAGCGCGTTGAGGTGCAGAGTGGGGGAAACAAATAAAAAAAACAGCCCGTGAAACAAGCCCCTTACAGCCTTTTACTCCATCATCATTCCCCGTTGCAGCGTTATTTTATGTTCCCCAGCCTTTTTATTTCCATCCCAACATGCCCGTGTCACACAAAGCAATTACCACTTTTCACTCAACTGTTAGCATCGGTTGCGTGCGCGGCGGCGTTCACAGCTAAAATGTTGGGTTAAAAAAAGAGAGCATCTTGAAGTATATGAGCCATGTTGAGTTGTTTTCTTTCTTTTTTTCAGGAATGAAAAGTGAAGCCAGGAGGACGGTGGAGTGTTTTACCGGCTGTCCCTCCGTCTCATTATTGGCCCAGATGATCCGATGTCTCAATCACCTTTGGGATCGTTATCCACTATCTGCTGCCACCCTGCTGAGACAGTAAAACTACAAACATCCCATAGCTCCATTCTGTTGAATTGATGAAATACTGCAATACTCACTGACAAAATCCAGAAAAAGAGCAGAAAATATTGATAGTTGGACAAAAATGGTTGTGCTCTGGGTGGTTCTGTAGACTTTTAAACAAACTATGTCAGTTGATATTCGTGGCCTGCCTACAAAAGTGACAGCTGATCCTGTAGTTGTCTGTGTTTATGTTTGCTTGTCTGTTCGTTGGCAAAATTTCTTGTGAACAACTGGATGGATTTTAAACTCTCAGAATTTCAGCATTAGATATGTAACTTTTAGAAGTGATTCAAATGAAGATGATCAACCTTAGCAAACACAAAAATGCATCCAAATTGGGGTTTGTTTCTTTTTTACATATTGAGCTAAAATTTGGTGTGGTAGTAACTGATAGTCATCCCTATCACAATCTTCAATTGCCAACTTATCATCCTCATCAAACTTTATTTAAAAACCCTTTCCATGCCATGCGACAAAGGTTTTATAGAGAAAATATTGTAAAATTCTGTAAAATTTTAGGTTAATGCTAAAATAATCCAAGACCATGATCTGTTATTACTCAGAGTAATTTTTTAGGTAAATTTTAGGTCAATATTTGTCAAATTGACTGAATTATTGCCATTTTTTTAAAGTTTCAATAAAATTAATTTGGTGGTTTATGAGAGATATTCATTACCACAATATTATGTGTGTGTGTGTTAGCAAAATATCTCATGATCCACTGAACGCACGATCACGAAACAGTCAAAGTCAGTACTGGATGCACGTCTATATAACTGAGTCAACTTGATTTAAGATGGCTGCCACAGCTAATCAACCTTAGCATACCATACCACTTTATTTCTAAAGCACTTAAAAAACAACATAGCAGC